TTTGGAGTATTTCTGACGGTGGAGACATTGTTTTCTGCAAAGTGTAAAAGGAATTGCAGGAATACCTAGGCAAATTGTCTTTATATCTGTACATAATGCCTGCATTTCCAAGAAATTTGAGATTGTTACCATGTTCTTGTTGGATAGTGTGATTTTTTTTTTTTTTTTTCGGGGGGGGGGGGGGGGGGGGGGGGGTTGGGGAGGTGTGTGTTTTGTTTTTGGTTTTTTTTTGTTTGTTTGTTTTTGGTTTGGTATTTTTTTTTGGTTCAGCTGTTTTGACAGTAGCAACCTTAGTGGAGAGACTATCATGGGGGTTGAAGAGCAGTTATGGTCCTTCAGTGCCCAGGAAATGTTATGTACTTGATCCTAACAGCTTAATAGCAATTAAGTAGTGCATCATAATACCTTCAGTATTAGTGTTTCATAAATCTTAAAATATTATCACAGCCTTCAACGTGTGAAGGTTGAGTTGTTCTTCAGGTTTTGGTGGAATGTTGGCTTTTCCATTTTTTGCTAAACTAAAAAATGACATGGAGTTTTTGGAGTACAGATGCTTTGGTGTCTTTAGTAAAAAGAATACACTTGCTTTCTGAAGTGGTTGCAAGGGTTCATAGAGAAAACTGTTTCTGGTGTATTTGTCAGCATGTGGTATCTGACATGTAAAAATTCTCTTTTGGAAAATCCGTGACGTAACCCACGCTGAAATCACAGGATCCAGTTAACCATGCCAGAGGTGTAGGACCTAACTGAAAAAAATACCAAATACATTCTGTTCTTGAAAAGAGTAATTGCTTCAGCCTCCATAGCAATTAAGGTATAAAATACTCTGTGTTATTTATTCCTGTTGTTCAGTCAAAAATCACAAATCAGTCATATTGTGGAGAACTGTAGTTTCTGTGGAAGGAAACTCATTTCCTTAGGGTTCGTGTTCTTCGTTTTCCTTCCCAAGCATATTGCAACAGAAAGTGGGAGAAGACTTGAAAGTCTTGGTCTTGTTTAGCATGGAAGATGCTTGCTTAAGATCAGAGTCACCTGCACCCCTTCAACCTTACCCTGTACCCCCTTTATGGAGTAATTGGCAATTAATGATGAAATTGTATGTGAGAAGTACATTTTGGAAGGGCTGGTAGAAAACAAAAAATGGCAGAATAATTCCAAAATCCAGTTTCTAGGCTGTTTTAGGTTTCCTGTTACGGTGAAGGGAGAAAAGTCCCTTAAGGCTTGAGTTGAGTTGTCATGCTTTCAACACATGTCACCTGTGTTGAGTGTCATGCTTTCAGCTGGGGCAGTGAGGATGGACTGCAGATGAAGCCTGCCTGCCTTTCAGGAGGAAGTGGAGGTAGTTGGTGTGCTTGAGTAGCTGGGTGTGTTTCCACAGGCCATGGTCCTCCTCTGAAATTGACTTTTGAAGCTGAACCCAGCATTGTTGATTGGTTTTGTGGGACTGAAAGTGAATTTTTTTTCCCATAGATTCCAAAACCTGCTTTTTCCTTGCAGAAGGGACTTTATGAGGCATAATGAGATTATTTGAGTGTTGAAGTTGGTGGATAGGGGATGTGCTTCTGCATGTGTTGCTTTTTGTTTTTTTTTTTTCCTCCATTGCGTATTCCTTTCTCTTTGCTCCTCAGCCTGGTTTCTGTAGAGCAACTGGCATGGGTAATTCCTAGAAATCTAAGTTTGTTAGCATTGTTGGTTGAATGTTAAGTAATCTGATTTGTAGAGTTTTTAAGAAAGCTTTGCTTCCTGTTTTGAGTATGTGTCCTGGTAGGAATCCTGACGAAACACTTCAGTTATCAAATCCAGAAAGACAGATATGTTATAAAAGGGAGACTGGAATTTTAAGGCTTATTATAGTCAGTAGATAGAGCACAAAGATGTTCTTCTTTTTTCCTAATTCTGTTTGTGATGAAATGAATGGTTTATTAATGTGGTGTTTCTAATTTCTCTTATTTGTAAGGCCTGCTTTCTGTCTGGTTGAGAGGGCTGTGAATCTCGCCTAAGCATATACTAACAGAATGTGACCACACGTGTGAGTTTCCTGAGTTACTACATCTTAAGGTCAAACATGCAAGAGAATTGGTGGAAGAGTTGCCTGTCTGACATCCTGTGTATTTTAACTGTATGCTGTAGTGTGTTCTTCAAAGTAATTTATCCCTGCATGAAGAGGTCAAATCACTGTTTGTATCTGTTTAGTGCTGCTGAGCTTTATTTTTCTCAGCAGCAAGCACATTTGGTTAATGTTTCAGTTACAGATTCTCTTTTTTTTCCTATGTGATAGTATAGTGTTACTGCATTCCTCTTCGTGTACTTATGTATTGGTTTCTCGCTGCATAACCTTTCTGGAGTACTGAAAGAACAAGTACAAGGGAATGCATTTAAATTAAAAGCTACTGAAAAACATAACATGAATTAAAATTTTCTTATACGGAAATGAAGATATTTATATAAGATATAGGTGATCTTGAAATATTTACTTTCAGAAACGGCATGCATCATATAACATGAATATGCATTGGTGCTTTTGTCCTTAGTGTCTATATAATGGGCTTGATTTCTTATAGCTACTCTGTTATCTATATAAAATGGGAAGATGGCACTGTAAATGATTTAACTGTGAAAAGTAAAAGATGCAGGGAGTAGGGACCCTTCCTTATTTAGGACTCCCCTGAATCAGAACTAAAAAATTAAGCCTCTATAAAGTTCCTTTCACTGAGATTTACCCATTCTGTTTCTGTATATTCCTCTATCACATGCATTGAGGACCTGACTGCAGTCCAAAGACCAGCTAACCATGCTCAGAGGACTTCCTACCACCCCGTTACTGTTCCCAGATCAAACTCGGCAAATTAGTTGCACTAGATTCCCCCCAGTCTTCCCTTTCAAATGAAGGACCTTGCATTTGGAGTATTTTACATGTAGCCTTAAACTCTGTTGTATCTTCCATGCTAACTCTGCTGACTTACACAAAGACTACATCTTTCCTGTGGACTGCCATGCCTGCACTAATTTTTACCATTGCTCTCATCTCATTTCGGTCATGTACCTTTTCTTGCAGCACTGTTTGTAGGCAGCAGAGCCTGCGTGTCTGGTAAAGGGAAAGCGATATCTGAGGTGCTTATTTAGATCACAAGTTGGAGAAGGGAAAGTCAATGGGAAAACATCTGTTCCCACTGCTCATGTACTGTGTATACAACAAACCCTGTAGGCAGTTGTCAGGTAGTGCATATGAATGGATTGATCAGTTTAGAGTGCGCAGCTGTTATTGCCATGCTAGCAATAGCAATGGTAAGCTGCTTACCAAAAATATTCATATTAAGTAACTGAGATAATCTCTAATGGTACAGCATTCAGCAGTGTTAGCTTTTGCAGAAAATGAAGCTAATGTAGTTAAAAATACAAAAAGTAATATTGGAGGAAATCGTGGTAGAAAATTTTGGATCTGTTAAATCAATTACGCAGATACAAGAACATTTTCAATAAAACCTAATCAGTTGTCATTAGAATATGAGAAAAATAGGCCTTTCTGGAGAAATAAAACAGTCTTCAGTACAATCTAATCAAGTGCCAGAAATGAAACATCTCTAATTTGATTAAAATGTCCTCATTGACCATAATTTTCTTTTGTCATAAATCCGCAGTCTGACGTTCTCAAGACAAAATGATAGCATTTCTTACTGCATATCACTTTTGGCTTTTGTAGTTATTGCCTTTTTTCTGACATTGATGTATGAGTTGCACAAATGATTTACCAGCAAGGGTCTGAGAGCAATGAAAGCATGCTGAGACTGAGGTGTCTTCCTGAATTTCTTTTTCCAGGAATGGTACTCATAAATAAGATAGGAAAAAAATCCCCCAAAACAACCCACCAAAAAAAAAAAAAAATAAAATTGCCAAACCCACCCCTTCTCCCCCAACCAAGCCAAACAAAAAACCTCATGTCTATAATTTTTTCATATGCTTCTGTTCCTAGCTACTCTTTCTTTTCCTTCCCCCAGCCCCTGTACTCCTTTTTCTCTCCTTTTCCAGTTGCCAAGACCTTCCTCCTTAGCACTCTTTCCATTACTGTGTAAGGCTCTTCTGGTCTGAATTTTTCCTTTTCTGTTTTTGTAGTTTGACCCTTGTAAATGACACATTGCTAGGCATATAGAAAGATTCCACTTCTGGTCTAAAATTAGCTTTTTAGTCTAAACTTGTCATCTGTGCAACCTCTGTAGTCAATAGCAAAAGATAAATGCCACAAGAAGGTAATTCATCACCTTTTTAAGATTACGTTGAAACCGGAGGGATTAATTGCTGTCTGGGCCACCTGTCTCTTTCTGCTGATTAAAGAGTGTCCTAGATGACAATCTCGGTTGAGGTACCTGACTTTCAGATGGGTAAAATTAGATGAAAAGTATCCCACCTGTTGTGCAAGAAGTAGTGCTGGTAATGGATTGCCTTTGTAAGGTCTGTCCTACTGAGGCAGAAGCTGCATAAAATTGGATGAAATGGCACACACAGTTTGATATTTTATTCTTTTTTTTTTTAAACTGGACTAATTTGCAATGGTGCCAACAGTTATATTTGCTTTTTAGTAGTGACTTTAGCAATGTTGTGACATTCTTGAAATCAAACCCCTACTGCTTTGTTAGAATAGTTAATATTTATGGAGCTCTTGTGAATTTCTTGCCAAATTCCAGAGTCCACTTTGTTTTTGATGTGGGGAGTTAGAAGCTTCAGAACACTTCTGAGAAGGACAAGCAGCGCTGTACGACAACATAATTGGATACAAAACCAGTTACATGAATCCAGTTTTAAAATTGTAGGCAACTAAGTTTAATGGTAGATAGTGTTTACTGTTGCAGGGCTTGTTACTAAATTAGAAACATCCCCACACAAGTTGTCCAGGTACAATTTGATCATAAAGAATCAATGACTTTATCAATGCCGCACACAAGCGGCATTCCCATAGGAAAACTGGTATTTGTACTTCTAATACTTGATTTTCTTTTGACAGTGCTGTAACTCGCAGCTGAAACACACTGGGAGCAGTTCATAGCATCAAATCTTCATCTACATGGACTGATGCCATCTTGCCAGCCTCCAAGCATGGAGAACTGAAGCTTTACGGAGTTTATGTCACCTGGTTCAAAGGGAATGTTTTTCTGATATTTAGCGAAGACCCTTACTGTCATCATGATGAGCCAGGAGAAGTGGGTTAACCTGAGCCCTGGGGAGTTCTCTCAGCTTCAGAAATATGCAGAATGTAAGTGAGTTTTAAAATATGCACGTTTATGGCTAATTTAAAATTAAGTATACTCTGAATGCATTTATTATTATTATTATATAGATGTTACTGTCAAGCAAGAGGTTAAGTTATGGTTTATATATATGGTTATTAATCCAAAAAATACATTCTTTGAGGGAAAAAAAACTCATCATTGACAATTTGTAGGTCACCAGACTGGGGTTTGTACTCAAGAGGGCTTTCTCAGTCAGGGAGGATATGGAGATTCCAGCAGAAGCACATCTGGGTGTTCAATATGAAGTTTTTTCTAATACTATAAACAGTGTGAGGGAGTTGTCATGTGAAAGAGCAGAAACAAAAAGTATGTGCTTAGAGGGTGCTGTATAAGAGATAGTGTATATGAAAAGTTAGTTTTAGGAGATGGTTTATGAAGCCTGATAACTTAACTGGAAAAGGTCAAGAACATTTAGGAAGTTTTCATGTTGGTAAGTAATCTAAACATATTTTTTAAAACTGAGAAAATATCATATGATTTATGAATGTTGTTGATTTTGCCACCATCTGTGAGTCAGTTTGCCGAGGTGAAAGCCATCCAGTTGGCCCTGGACATTTGCTGAACGAGAGAAGTGGCCAGAACTTTATACTGACTCGTGGATGGTGGCAAATGCCCTGTGGGGGTGGCTGCAGCAATGGAAGCAGAGTAACTGGCAACGCAGAGGTAAACCCATCTGGGTTGCTGCACTGTGGCAGGATATCGCCACGTGGGTGCAGAACCTGGTGGTGATGGTATACCCTGTAGTTGCCCATGTACCCAAGAGTCGGGCCACTGAGGAACACCAGAACAACCAACAAGTGGATAAAGCGGCTAAGATTGAAGTGGCTCAGATGGACTTAGATTGGAGACATGTGCTTATAAGGTAAAATGAAGACTGGTGATTGCTTGTTGGGATTTTTTTGCCTGTAACATCACAGCATATACTTAACTGCATTTCAGTGTAGTCATGTAACAGAATAATCAAAAAATGATTATTAGAGTTTCAGCTTGATGTGAAGACTTCACTTCATAAATCTTACCTAAATTACAACATTGTTTTAACTTCCCACGGGGTCACAGCTTCCTTAGGGCATCCCCCTCTCTCCATGTGCTGAAGGTGGTTATCCGTTCCACCATGGGCCTCCATGGACTGCAGGGGCACAGCCCTCATCATGGTCTTTACCATGGGGGATAACTGCAGCACCTCTTCCCCTTACTTCTTCACTGACCGTGGTGGCTGCAGAGCTGTTTCTCTCAGCTATTATCACTCTTTGGCTACAGTTGCATCCAGAGGTGCTGTCACTGTTGCTGGTAGGCTTGGCCTTGGCTAGTTGTGGGTCTGTGTTGCAGGTGGCTGGCATTTGCTCTATTGGGCACGGGTAGCTACTGGCATCTTCTCATAGAAGCTGTTTCTGCAGTCCCTCCACTACCAAAACCTTGCCACTCAAACCCAACAACAGGCTAAAATATGAAAAGAACTGTTCTCCTAAGTTCATTATACAAATATATATGGGATTACTTTTTAAACTGAGTCAATTCAAGCAGGTATTTGACAGTAAGATAAGCACTTCAAACAGTAAGACGCACAGAAAGAATTTTTTCTCGTCTATTATTGTGCACACATTTTGGTGTGGAAATAAAAAGTAATAATACAGAAAGTAAAGAGAGGAAATTCTTAAACTTAAAAAGAGAGGTGTATATTAGACTGATATGAGCTCATGGGATAGAATTCAGAGTTCACACACCTCTGTATCACACTGTGGTGCTCAAATACTAAGTGCTGATGATTCACAGCATCTACTATTATTGATGCAAAACAGATACCTTTAACACATGTGCTGAGGTGCCTTGCACTAACCAGTAGGAATCTTTAAGCACTGGCTATATTTTGCTTTCTGCTTCTCTTTGGTGTGTCGGTAAATTTGGTTAAGAAAGTTTGCCCGTTTAATTTTAGGAGAGGAGTCAATGTTCTGCATGTTGTGTGCCTATCCACCCAGAAAATATTCTTTTTAAAATGCATCTGTTTTGTGTTTATGTGTTTTGCATATTTGCTTGGTGGTCAGAAAAAACCTTCACAGAGCTCCCTTCTCAAGCTTAATTCCCTTCACCAAAGCTGGCTACAGAAGTGAGATGGTGTTTTGCTTGTGTGACCCCCAGCCACTGCCCTCCGCACAAGCACAAACCACCTTTCTGGTTTGACAGCCTTAGTTTTGATCCAGCATTGGAAGGGGCGGTAAGTCAGACTGTTCTACTGCATAGCAGACAGGGCACACTTGTAGGAGTGAAGAAATTGGGTTTGAGTCTTCTGAGGTTTAAGCTCAGTTTGAGCTTTCCCTTAACTGTCTCATTTCCATGTGGTTTATGAAGATGACTGTTGCTGCCTGACTTGGCTGAAATCAGTCACATCTGCAAGGATTATGGTTTCTGCGAATAGCAGAGGAATGTGTCCACCCAGGTTCTAAGAGGAAAATCAAGTGTCTCTTCTTGAGACTGTAACAGAAGTCAGGAGGTAGCTATATGAGCTGCTTCTTTTCTGCATCAATTAATTTTGGTCATGTAAAGGAATTTTTAAACCATATTGAGATACAGGCTGCAGAGATAATAAGCTTAAGTACTTCCAGAGTTAGATTTTATGTGCAGAACTGTAGCTGGGTGAGTGTGGACATTATAGGTACAGCCGTCCTGGGCTTAGAGGTCTGATTTTAGCCTAAATCTCCTTTTTAGTCACCAAAATAAGTGTATCTTTCCCTACATAAAGCCCATTAAACTCCTCATGTGGGTTCTGCTGCCATGGCAGGGACATGTGCTTTCTACTTCCTGAGTGGAACACAGTTTGTTCCAGTTCATTGTGGTTCTGCTTTTAATTAATTACCTAATCTTCTGTCAGCTTGATGGTAGGCTGTCACTATTGCACAGTTAAACAGACAAGGCCTGCTCCTAGCTCTGTATGCAGATGCTGTCCTTGGTATGCCATTGAGGAGTTCCTGCCATGTGTCTTGTCTGCCTGTCATCTTCATCAGATACTTATGTTTCTTATTCTCTGCTTTATTCAAGTGTATTGTACAGTGGACGCAAACCATGAATGTAAAATTTCTTTCCTGAATACATACCAGGTTTCCCTGATTTCCACAGATGTAACTGAACAGCAAAGGAAAATGAGTTCTGTTGTTCCTAATCACAAAATACTTCTCTCTAAGCGATGCTCAGAAATTTACAGTAGTTGAATATCCAGTAAATTAATCCGAGGAGTGTCCATAATAAGAAATGTGTGTTTTTAAGTGAATTCAAAGACCGTATTTCCTAATACTTGGCTCTTTTCAGTTAATATGTGCATCTGTGGTTTTTGGAAGAACAATGATTTCCAAAGACAGTTCCTCTGTGTTGTCCTTAGTGGTCAAATTATAAATCTCCCCTCTCCTCTTGTTCTTGAGAGACAGTAGCAGAAAATAGATTGCATTAGATATTCCTGTGGTTTTAAAATGCCTCAGAAGAATAGGTGAAAAGAAGCAACCAAAATAACTGTTTTTTTTAATTATATAATATTAGTAATAACAATAATGACAATAAATAATTAGCCCACACCAAATCCTGAAGATTCATTGGAGATACATGCACTCAGAAAAAGAAGTTTGTTTTTTGTTTTTTTTTTTTCTCCATTAGATTTTAGATTTTATAATTGACTCTGCCTGTGGGAAAGAAAGATGGAAAGGTGAAGAACTGTTTCTGCATAAAAATGTTACTGCATAGGGTGAAGTGCACACAGGACTTTCCAGGCAGGGACAGTTTCTTCTAAACTGTATAGTACCAGTTATCTGCATCGTTCTGCTTTTTAAGTGAATGCTTAATCATTTTATTAAATAAAGTTGTTGTAGTCCAGATCATGTTAATGGGAGCTTAGAAGGTCCTATTCCAAAAGCAAGTGAGAAAATATTGAAGAGATTAGAAACAGTTAAAGCAAGACAGTTTCATGATTCAGCTAGGCTTTAAAAGACAGAAGAAAGGTCTGCCCTTCCCTTAGTAGGCAGAGAGAGGCAAAGGAAAAGACCTCTGAGCTCTGGCAGCATGTGCACTCTGGGGAAATAGCTTGGTTTTGTGTTGTCCTTTTGAGTTTGTCAACAAAATGTGCTCTGAGGAAAAAGCCTGGAAAAGACTTTTTGCAAAACTTTTGGCAGTAATTTGTTTTCCCAGGCTGGTGGAGGAGAACTTGGGCAGACTGTCACAGGCTGAAGATAGAAATAGATGTTGGAGAGCTACTGAAATGGCTATGAGAACAGGAACAGCATCAGCAGCTGCAGCATCTTTTGATGTAGCATCAATAGCTACCACAAGAACTAGTGTAAGAGTTTTGTAGGAGGATATGAAGGAGGAACTTGTGAACACGGTCTTTCAAGAGAAACAGGAAGGTCAGCAAAACTTTTGGTCCAGAATGAAGTTGTCAGAGACTCTTGGGTCGGTTTGATTCTGTGGCCCTCACAGATGGAAAAGATTTTCTTTTACAATGAGTATGAATGATAACCTGTGGGGAGCTCCATACATATGGCAGCTGGTCACCAGCAGCTATAGGCCACATTACACAATCCCTCAGGCTTCTAGTGCCACATGGAATTGTGCTAATTTTAATGAGGAAATGGGCCTCATCAAAGAATGCAGATTGCTAAAACCAGCTATTTTTGTCTGTTTGGAAATTTGAGAGAAAAAATTGCTGATGATTATTGGGAATAGTTTTACCCCAATTTTTGGATATTAGGAGTATGGTGTTTCTGGTGCTGTTGGTAAAGACGGAGGAAATTAAGTTCTCATAAAGTTTTGTCAGAGCCTGTCAAACTGGCTGAAAGATTGAGTCTGCCAGTGCTGCCTGTTCAATACCTGTGCACTTGGAGAACTTCGTGGAGAAAGATGATGAGTCTTGTGAGAGATCCCCTGTTTGCATTCAAGGCCTGTTGGGAATGGAGGAGCCAGAAAAAGTGGCCAGTTGATGATTCAT